CTGCATAAAAACCTATTTTTGTTAATGAAAAAGGGATCCATATCTTTAGCAACCAGACATTCAGGTGGCAAAATTGACATCATCTTATGAAAATTAGCTCTGCATTTCTATCCACATTAACATAATCTATAGGCCATGAGTCTAAAAAGGCAATTACCCCAGTTGTTCCTCACTTCTGATTCTCCAACACTACCAAGTCAGGCACTGTAGGTTTGCCACCAAGAGCCAGTGCGGAAGCCCTCCCACATTTGCAGAAATTTTCCTCAGAACAGGTCTGCATTAGTTTCAAGACACAAACAAGAAGCAAACAAAGCATTACAACTTTGGGGCTTAGAAGAGAATAACCCAAATAATTTGGAAGGCAAATTATGACTATAATAAAATAAATTTAGCATAGTTCTTTTTTAAAATTAATTTTAAGTTCTGGGGTACATGTGCAGGATGTGCAGGTTACATAGATAAACGTGTGCCATGGTGGTTTGCTGCACCTATCAACCCACCACCTAGGTATTAAGCACCATATGCATTAGCTATTTTTCCTAATGCTCTCCCTCTTCCCACCCCACCCCCACCAAGCCCCGGTGTGTATTGTTCCCCTCCCCATGGTCATGTGTTCTCATTATTCAGCTCACATTTACAAGCGACAATGTGCAGTGTTTGGGTTTCTGTTCCTGCATTAGTTTGCTGAGAATAACGGTTTCTGGGTCCACTCATGTCCCTGCAAAGGACATTATCTCGTTCCTTTTTACAGTTGCATAGTATTCCATGGTGTACATGTACCAACCACATTTTCTTTATCCAGTCTATCACTGATGGGCATTTGGGTTGATTCCACGTCTCTGCTATTGCGAATAGTGCTGCAGTGAACGTCCACATGCATGTATATTTGCAGTAGAATGATTTATATTCCTTTGGGTATATACCCAGCAATGGAATTGCTGGGCCAAATGGTATTTCTGGTACTAGATCTTTAAGGAACTGTCACACCATCTTCCACAATGGCTGAACTACTTTACATTTCCACCAACAGTGTAAAAGCGCTCCTATTTCTCCACAATCTCACCAGCATCTGTTGTTTCTTTACTTTTTAATGATCGCCATTCTGACTGGCATGAGATGGTATTTCATTGTGGTTTTGATTTACATTTCTCTAATGATCAGTGATGTTGAGCTTTTTTTCAAATGTTTGTGGCCGCATAAATGTCTTCTTCTGAGAAGTGCCTGTTCATGTCCTTTGCTCACTTTTTAATGGGGTTGTTTTGTTTAAGTTCCTTGTAGGTTCTGGATATTAGACCTTTGTCGGATAGATTGCAAAAATTTTCTGCCACCCTGTAGGTTGCCTGTTTGCTCTGATGATAGTGTTTTGTTTGTTTGTTTGTTTCTGCTGTAGTATGGTTATGATACAACTTGTGGTTCTAAGAATGGAATGCTGGTGGGTCTGTGAGAATAGATTAGAAGCAAAGAACAGTACAAACCTAGATAATTCAGTCAGTCCTGCTGTTTACCCTAATGTGGCTGAATATCTTCCCAACATACATATTGCACCTCAGGACTAAATGACAACAACTGGACAACTAGTTTAATTGCTTCTTGAGGCCACACCTAAAATTTGATAATAAACTCATCAGCAGAGTCAAGAAAGCTGGTCTTCCTGCTCACCATTAGCAGGGTAGCTCCTCTAGCAAGCTACGTAGATGTAAGTTAATAAGGAAAGCGTAAAGCTACTTAAAATGTACCAGGTTACATGAAACCAAATGCAATTTGTGATCCCTTATGGGAAAAAAAATCAACAAGACTGGATCATGGACTATAAGTTAAAGCATTTTGTCAACATTATATGAATCTAATAACTGTACTGTGGTCATGTAAAACAAGCCTTGTTCTTAGGAAATAAACAATTACATATTAAGAGGTAAAGGAGCATTATGTATGAAACCTACTCTCAAATGACAGGAAAAAATTATATAGAATGATGAAGCAAATGTGGCAAAATGTTAGTAGCTGCTGAATCTAGATAAAGAGGATATGGAGTTCTTTGTACTATTATCACAACTTTTTGTAAGTCTGAAATTATTTCAAAATTAAAAGTACAAAAAATTAAAATGAACTAGCTGGGCCAGGCCTGGTGGCTCATGCCTGTAACCCCAGCACTTTGGGAAGCCAAAGCAGGCAGATTACCTGAGGTCGGGAGTTCGAGACCAGACTGACCAAAATGGACAAACCCCATCTCTACTAAAAATACAAAATTAGCCACTCTCAAGTGATCCACCTGTCTCAGTCTCCCCAAGTGCTGGGGTTATAGGCATGAGCCACCATACCCAGCTCCTAATCTGAAAATCTGAAAGTCTCCAATGAACATTTCCTTTGAGTATCATGTCCACACTCAAAAAGTTTCAAATTTTGGAGCATTTCAGATTTCCAGCTTTGGGATGCTCAAACTGTACTGAACATTTTTCTTCTTTGGTCTTGTCTCCCCATGTCCTAAAGTATTGAAAATATTCTTATTTATCCTCAAGTTTCAGATCATTACCCAATAACTCTATATTCAGAGAAACATATATCTGTATAATTTACACTGCTGTATAAATCCATTAGATTCTGTTCAATGATTGGATTATGCTTCTTGCTTTCACAAACAGCACAGTATATAGGAAAGATATAATTTTAAAGTTAGATTTCTGTTGATAAACCAACTCTACAATTTATTGATGATGTGGCTTTGGGTAGGTTATTTAATCTCTGTGGATCTCACCTCACTCAATTATATAAGGTTAATGCTTCTATATCATAGGGCTGCCATGAGCTTAAATGTGAATGTGTAGTAATTAGCACAAATATATACTTGATATATTAGTTCTTGTTTCTCCAAATTACCTTTTTTTTTTTTTTTGAGACAGGGTCTCACTTTGTTCCTCAGGCTGGAGTGCAGTGGTGCAATCAAAGCTTGCTGTTTCAGCCACCTGGGCCCAAATGATCCTCCCACCTCAGCTTCCCAAGGAGCCTGGACCACAGGCATGTGCCGCTACACCTAAGTTGCATTTTTTATTTTTTGTAGAGGTGGGGGTCTCCCTATGTTGTCCAGGCTGGTCTTGAACGTCCCGGCTCAAGGGATCCCCCACTTTGGCCTCTCAAAGTGCTGGGATTACAAGTGTGAGCCACATGCCTGGCCCAATTTACATTCTTTACAAAGAACACAGTCTTTGCAAAACTAAACACAATTTGTTTCTCATCATGGCACCACCTTGATCTAAGGGCTAAGAATGGAAACCATCTACCCTTACACACAGCTTATATACTAAGGTCCAAAACTACCTGCCATGATATGGTTTACTGTCTACATTAACATGAATTTATTATTTCTTTGTCTCATTGGCATAACTTTACTGTTCTAGAAGACTTCTGCCCAAATAACTTAATCATTCATTATAAGAACTTCACGATAAATCTATTAGCTTTTCACAGGATTTACTTTTATTTTTTGTTTACAGGGTCTCACTCTGTGGCCCCCCTGGAGTGCAGTGGCACAATCACAGCTCGCTGTAGCCTCAAACTCGTGGGGCCGTCCAAGTGATCCTCCAGACTCAGCCTTTCAAGCAGGTAGGACTACAGAGGTGCACCATCAGGCCTGGCTACTTTTTAAAACAAATTTTTGTTGATATGGGGTCTCCCTATGTTGTCCACGCTGGTCTCAAACTCCCGGGTTCAAGCCATCCTCCCATCTCGGCCTCCCAAAATGCTGGGATTATAGGCCGCTGAGCCACATGCCAGGTCTATTAGTTCTTCCAATTTAGAAAACCTCAACAGTTTATGCCTTAAGGCTCCTTGCAGTCTTTGCTTTTGCTACCAATCTTAAACTGCTGTATCAGATCAGTTTCCAATCCTAATCAAGTCATCTTCCTCCAACATCCTCCTACCCTCTGCCTCTGAAAGACCAGCCTTAAGCCGTACCCATCAGTAAAATCTGACCTTGCTTTCCCAGTTGAATACACTACCAAAGCTCTAAGCAGTGTTCTTTCTTATCCCAGTAAGCAATAAATTCAGCTGTCTTAACAAAATGTCATATTGGTGATATTTGGCGAATTATCACTGGACAGGGCAGTATATCTATAAGCATAAAGACAAGGCAGAGGGATTTCCCCACAAATGTCTAGAAACACTGTAAAAATGAGCTAAGATAAATTATACACCAGGCTAATTACGTCCACTAATACATCCATTAATCAGAAGGAAATGGGTTAGTCGAGACCACAACAGAAAGTTTCCTTCCAAGGGTGGCCAGTGAGTCCTAAAAAGTTCTTTTTGATGAATTACACGTTTATACTGCAATTTTGCCCAGCGCAGTGGCTCATGCCTGTAATCCCAGCTCTTAGGGAGGCAGAGGAGGGACGACAGTTTGAGCCCAGGAGTTTGAGGACTGCCTGGGCAATATGGCAAGATTCCGTTCTCCACAAAGAGGAAAAACAAAACAAAGCAAGTATATTGCAATTTTGTAAGCCCTTCCTCACAACAGAGGTGTTCAAATATGACCCTGAACCAAGAAAAACTGAGTCTCAGATAGCTCATATATCTTTGGGAATTACCAAAAATAATTCTAGGGTTGACTACCTAAGTGACTGCAAGAGAAATAAGCAGTTTTAAAATGAGTTCCCTCTGAAGAACAATCCACATCCATCATTAACGTCAATAAAGTGTAAAGAACACTAACTTCTATGGGGTCTCATCATGGTCTAATGACTTTCCACCCAGGTAAAGCATACTAAGCTGTGGGGTGGGAAGGAGTGAAGCACCAGGCACCTTTCAAAGTTTACTTTTCACCAAGACAAACTGATCCCAGCCGACCCCCCACAGGACTTCTGGAGCCCTACCAGCTCCAGAGAAGGGGGAGGAGGTGGTAGAAAGTAACAGAATTCTGTAGGACCCACCCTCCAGCTGACTGAGGACTGGCCCGCAGCAGTGACCTAGCTCCGCATGGACTCCCCTGCGCGCTCCGGGATCCATACCTGGCAAGCTATAGCCCTGCGAAAGCTGCACGCCATGTCCGCCTCTAAGGAAGTGCGCCGCAGCCCGCCAGTCCCGGCCTCGCCTCACCTCCTTAAACGCCCCGCCCCTCGCGCCGGAAGCCCGCCCTGGAGGGTGATGCCAGCCAATCAAGAAGCTGCGTAACGCGCCACTAACCTCTGCCCTGCAGGCGCGAGGGCGCGCGGGAAATCCCGAGTGCATCTGGAATCCGCAGAGCCAGTAAGACTATGGCCACGTCCTCGATGTCTAAGGTAGGTGGTGGCCGACGCTCACAGTGGCTCTACCGCTGCCTCATTCCCCCTTTGAAGAAGGGATGAAGCGGAGGTTACGTAGGCCTCCGTTCCCTGGCTGGAGGGGAGGGAGGGAGCGGCGTACTGAGCTGAGGCGTCCTTGCTCCAGATCAGTTGAGGCCAACTTTGCTTGGGGAGCGAGGACGCGGATCTGCCTTGTGGTGGGGCTAGGAGGATTTTTAAGTTCTGGTTGTTGGAGGTCGGATGTCCTGATGATGTGGCCCAGTCTTTCATTTTTTCCCTCTCACAAATACTGTTAGCCGAGCACTCCGTTAGGTACCGAGATGCAGTGGTAAACAAAACAGATTCAGCTTCTGCAGTCAAGAAAGTCAGTAAACATAGATAAACTGATGATCACAAATTTTAAGTGTTAGCAAGGAAAAGAGTTCTAGACAGACAACAGAAGAGTGGGAAGAACCTAATATAGGTTGCCGGGGGTTAGCGGAGGCTTTTTGGAGAAAGTAACGCTTTGACTGAGACCTGAAAAATGAGAAGTTAGGCTAAGGATTAGGGCGAGGAGGGAAGAGAGAACAACATGTTCTTCGGCCCAGAAGATAGAAATAAAATGGCATATTAGAGGAATTTAAAAATCATAATCAGAAAGTAGACAAAGAGTGGGAGCGTCATGAAAAATGAGAATGCAAAAGTAATGCAGATGCGGGTGTGTGCGGTGGGGGTATCTTACAGACCTCTTCTTGGCTACCAAGATGGCAAGAAATTGCAAAACATAGTGTAGTTGGTAAGAGGATAAGCCCTAGAGCTATATTGTCCAATGTGTTAGTCACTAACCACATGTGGCTATTTAAATTTGAGTTAAAGTAAAATTAAGTAAAAATTCAGTTCCTCCGTTGCACTAGCCACATTTTAAGTGCTCAATCATCACATGTGGCTGCAGCTACCGTTTTAGATAGTGCAGATACATTTCTATCATTACAGAAAGTTCTGTTGGACAGCGCTGTTCCGGACCACGAAAAGTAAGACATTTAGTTCTATTATAAGTGCAGCGGGAAGCCCCTGAAGTTAAGCTGTCTGATAAAGCTGAAAAATGCAGATGAAGAAGCTACATTTCCCTATGTTAAAACAATGGATTAATGAAGACTATATCATGGATCTGATTTTTTATTTTGATTAAAATGGTTTATGAGAAGCAGTGCTTTTAAAGACTACATCTCAAGAAGAAAGTACAAGTCTTGGGGTTTAAGGTTACACTAGTAGAGATTTAAAAGTAGTATTTTTATTAGAATTGGTACTGGTTTTATTTTGTCCTGGTTATAATGTTCTGTAGGTTTTGAATGGTCTGTCCCTTAATCCTGTTGATTGCATAAGCACCTCTTATTTTTATGTATCTTGCAGAAAGTAAGGTTTTTCAGGAAAGCGTTTTGGTATTATAACAGAAATGTCTGTATTGGGATGAGACCTTACATGTATAAGAAGCTTTAAGAACTATTTCATGAGTTGATGGAACTGTAAGCTTTTTTTTTTTTTCTCTCTTGAGACAGAGTCTCGCTCTGTTACCAGGCTGGAGTGCAGTGGCGCGATCTCGGCTCACTGCAACCTCCACCTCCCCGGTTCAAGCGATTCTCCCACCTCGGCCTCCCGAGTAGCTGGGATTACAGACACGCGCTACCACATCCAGCTAGTTTTGTATTTTTAGTAGAGACAGGGTTTCACCATGTTGGCCAGGCAGGTCTCAAATTCCAGACCTCAAGTGATCCCCCGGCCTCAGCCTCCCAAAGTGTTGGGATTACAGGCGTGAGCCACCATGCCCGGCCCTTAAACGTATCAAAACATTTTAATGTCTCTTTCCTCATGAAATTTTCTGGCTGTTGGCCTTCCTCTATCTCAAACACCATCACTTGACCAGCAGTTCCAAATGGTTAACCATGTTACTACCACTGCCCTGTATTAAGATCCTTTCTGGTCACTCCTCATACCGTGTTCCTTTGAAGCTCCTTTCTTCTTTACTGAATTGCAGGTGGATTTGAAAAGAAGGCAATGACAGGTTTGTCATGGTACCACGTGATTTTTCTAAATATGTATGTTATTTCACAAACTTCTGCTAGTTGCAGATACAAGAATATAAGGCACAGGGCTGTGTGCGGTGGCTCATGCCTGTAATCCCAACACTTTGGGAGGCGGAGGTGGGTGGATCATCTGAGGTCAGGAGTTCAAGACCAACCTGACCAACATGGTGAAACCCCATTTCTACTAAAATACAAAATTAGCCTGGCATGTTGGTGGGCGCCTGTAATCCCAGCCTCTCAGGAGGCTGAGGCAGGAGAATCGCCTGAACTCTGGAGGTAGAGGTTGTAGTGAGCCGAGATTGTGCCATTGCACTCTAGCCTGGGCAGCAGAGGGAGATTCTGTCTAAAAAAAAAGAAGAGTCTAATGCACAGGTCTTAATTTGGAACATGTAATCCAAATGACTACTTTATATTTTCACAGCTGTCTTTAACACTATCCTGAGACAACTT